TCCATGCATCTACTTTATTATTCTCCATTCAATCCTTGCTGAACACTTAAAGTCTCGATTCTCATTCAGATTTCTATTGTGAAAGTGGCTGACACACTCTCCAAGAGAACCGACCGCATAAATTCGAATTCCAGTTCCGATAACAATGACATCATAGTCTGATTCAATGTTAAAATTAGTCGAAAACGATTTCACGATGCAGGGAGATAAACGGAGTTGCAAATTTTCCACGACCGTCCGAACTCGGGGCGAACGGTGCCGGCACGTGTTACCTATCGTGCCAAAATAAAAGCTGCCGTTGTCGAAGCCGTTCTCCAAAAATCTATTATTACAGCGAGACAGATTTCCCAGCGACCATCCAACATTGTTTTCAATAGAATTTAGTTAGCATGTATTTCAAGCAGCAGTCAATTTTTGAACAGCCATAAATAATAATAGATAAATTATGATATGTATTTTGTAAAATCTGTTTAGTTTATTTTCATAGAAAATTTGAAATTTAATGAACATGTATTTCGAGCAGCAACCAATTTTTAAACAGCTATAAATAATAGTACGTGTGTCTAATAATAAATGTAATGCGATGTGTATTTTGAAAGATCTATCTCGTTTATTTTCACAGAAAATTTGGATTATATGACACCGAGTTCATGTATTCATTTCAATAGAATGGTTATTAAGATTTATGTTTCACAAGATGAAATCATTTTTAAATAACAGATGGGCTATCGATTTTGAATTTAAATCAGCCTGAAGGTGAACGTTTTAAGAAGTTCAGTCACCCTGTTGAAATGCTGACAATATAGTCAGGACAACAGTGACAGAATAGAGGCGAGTATTGAGCAGACGGTAACTGATCGCTCTTTGAAATTGTATTACAAAAATATCATCTCTTTAAATAGCGTATCGTCATAACTTGCACGCAATTTCGTCAGTGAAACGATGGCCACTTTTCGTGTCACGAACATCTCACACGTCATCGAAATCACTAGTGCTATAATTTATTGCTTCGAGTACAATTTCGCCAAAATATAAACAATTTGGTTGGATTTTCTTCCTCTGTTTTAATGTAATGTGACTTAAACTAATAAAGTGGATACGTGTGTTCCTTATAATGTTAATTTAGCAGATAACCCAGAGCAATTAAAGAGACTCATAGGCAAGTAATTAAGGCAACTTCCTTAAAAGGAATGGGTAATGAAGCACGGTCGAGTCATTCGAGAGATAAGTCGCGGTTTTACCAAGTTACGTTGGTTAGTCGTCCGTTTCTTGATAACTCCGAAAAACAGTTGGGCAACAAAACCGAACGGATCTATCATCCTGCGTGAAAATAGAGAGGGGAGATACCTTCGATTCAGGTATTTTAGAGCTACTGGCCTTACTGGGTCACGATGACTCACGCGGATGGAAATTTCTTTTGTGAGTTCTTCGTTTTTCATTGAATGGGATTTATTTTAATCCTCTGTACTTTTGGAACAGGTCTAAACAAAAACCTGTAGTGAATCTAATTTTGTTCATTAAGTCTCATCAAATTCGAAATTCGTACAAAATCTCTTCTTATTAAAAATTCTGAAGTGAGCGAGTAAAAAGTTTAAGTATAAAAATGTATTAATTCAGTGAACTGTATTAAAGACCAACTATGGTTCTATAAAACATGTTTTAATCCAAAATGAAGTACAAGTTATTTGACGACTATTCTTATTAAATCTGCAGAGATCATCTAAAACGACTAGGTTGTCCAATGTCGCGTGAAACGAGTTACGTCACCGAGTAATCGAAACGAGAGCACGCGGTTGCGAATTCTAAAGCAAATAAAACGAGCCAGTGTCCACGCGTTCGCGAATATTATATGTATAGTGCACGTAGGTGCACCAAAATACCGAACCCAGTGACTCAGCACTCGAGCAAGTAACTTACGTTCCACAGATAACGTAGGAATGCTCTTTGTTAATATCATCCACCATCTGATCATTTCAATAAATACTTATCAAATGATTCCTGGATACATTGAATTCATATATCTGCAGTATTTTTTATGTATACATCATTATATGTATGCTTAAGGA